TCTAGCTCTGCTATACAGACTGTACAGGAGTCTAATAACATGATACCAGCTCAGATTCAGGTAAATATACTGCTTGCATAAAATATGTTTCATTATGTGTAACACTATGCATTGCTACAGAAAGTGCAGTATTCTGTTCATTCACAAGATGGCAACATTCAGCACTTCCACTTGCAATAGTCCCATTACAAGTATTCAGCCCCTTCTGAGAGTTGTAGGCTGGAAGAAGCATAATATTTCACACAGTAAAGCTAAAGCAAAACTACAGAGCCCATTAGCAATTGCCAAGGGGCAGGAGAATATAAAAGAAAAAAGCCTACGAATACACAGGTGAGTTGGAGAGAGATGTTGCAGCAGGGAGGAGTGTGTGTGTCTATGCTGAGCCGTGCTTTTAAAGATCTGGCTGGGTTGCACCGAGGTGAACAGTATAGCTTGGGGAGCTAAAAAGGAGACTGTTAAGTTAAAAAGCAAGTTGTAAGCACCGCTCTTGGGAGACCCTTCAGCTTCAGGAGTGTGTCAGTAACCACAGCCACACCTTCAATTAAAAGGGGCCCTCACCACAAGACAACTGACACTTCTCTGCACTGCCACAGGAGGGACTAAATGAGAAGGTCTCTGACCCGCAATTTATTTCTACGTTACCATTAGTTCTTTTTGCCAGCAGGGCCTGTCTAGACTATGAACATTTATCAACTTTGACATTTATCAGCGATAAACATCCCACTGCCCTTCATTGCCACAAGCTGCCACTGTTTTTTTTTTTATTGTGGATACTGCCTGCAGGTTGCTTAGCTGAACCAACACTTTGCCCCTGCTTAGCAGATTGTTTTCTGTATTGCATTCATTTCAGCCTAGGCCAAAAATAGGGGGGTGCTTTAGTTGTCTAAGTTCAACTTCACCCTTATAAAGTGGACTGTGCCAACAACTTTGCCTTTTTAAAGTGTACTGCCCCTTTGGTTCAATTTTGTAAGGGGATAGCACCTAGCATTGTGTGTCAATGTGAAGGTCCCCAACTAAGCCAGCAGAGACCTCAATCTTCAGACTATTTTTAGACCCAGGGTCTATTCTGGTAGCAGTACTGGTATGTAGGCCTTATAGATTTTCAGGCTTAAACCTAGACTATCCTGACTGAGGGCCTATAAGTGAGCTAGCCAGCTTGTTCTCTTGATATCCATAAAGGTCTCACTTGGGGAGTGATCTCTGAGTCAGAGGGCTATTATTTATGCTCTTGGTCTGGCAGGACATAAGAGGTTGCACATTAAAGGGTATTTGACTGTACTGTATTGCTATTGTGTTGGCCAACTGTGTTTAACGGTTAACCTCTAAACTGTTGCATTGCTTTACCATTCTATCTCTACTAATACAAGCTGTATATTTTATCACAGATGGTGTGTATCCTTCTTTGTGACTGCCAGGAGACCCCCTCCCCAGCCAAGGTATTCTGGTGGTGTCAACAGACATTAGACTCCGTTTAGGGCCAGGGAAGAGCAGAAGACCCAAATCTATCAGCGGATCCTTTCAGGATAGCGTTACATAGATATTAATTAATAAATAGCTGCAATAATTTGTGACTATTATATGTGCCTGAAGTTCAGCTTTAAGCATAATGTACTGCTTCCTTTGCTGTATTAGTAATTCCTTGTTCGATTGTATTTGTAGCCTAGAGTTAATGTTGAAGAAAATTCAGGCCAATAAAGGCTATTATATGCAGAAATAATGATATCTTCATATTATTATATCAGTTAGTCATTATTAGTCCAGAACTGGGACTTTGAAAAACATAAAGGCATTGACAAGGAATGCTTTGTTGTACAGGTTCCTACAAAACTCAAAATAATTACAAGCTGTGCTGGGCCTTCACAAAAGCATTATCTTAATTCTCTTTGAACAGTGGGCTGGCTATGTCATTGCTTAAGCTGCCAAATGCTCATATTCCTTAATGGAAATAAGGCACAGCTGTGAGTTACCCTTCCATGTGATCTTATTACAAAGGGACTAATAACATATAAAAAGCCAAATATGTAACCAAATCTTGCAAACTAAGGTATCTTGTTGAAAAAGATGGACATATTTTATTAGCATCATAATGAACAGTACAATTTTACATAAATGGTAGAATGAGAAATGTTCAACAATCGGGTAGATGCTGTGAAAATATATTGCCCCTTACAAAAAAGAGACAGTTACCTAATTTGTACTTTTCCTCAGCTTCTTAAAATAGAAAGTGAAGACCTTTAACTGAATGAGATATTCTTGGGTTTTTATTTACTCTGCATGACAGTTCACACCAGGGAAGAGACTTCTGCAACATCAACAATAAAGTGACAGCCCACATTACAGACCTCTCTAAAGCTCTGACTGGGCTCCATTCAAAATAAAGGTCATTGTTTAATGTATATTATTAATACCTACCTTTTGAAAAATACATGATTGTGCAAAACAAAGATTTCTATAGAAATAAAAGAGAGGTTTTATTATTTTTTTAAGAACACAACCATCACTCCAGCTTTGTGCACAGGAAAATGTAAATGTTATAAAAGTGTCACATACAAGTACCCAAGAACATAAAGAAGATTTATTGTGAAACATTGGGTGAGGAACCTGGGGACCACCACCTCACCAAACCTCCCCAATTTTGAACTCACGATACATGTTGTAACAAAACTGTTGAGATCCTCTCTGCTACTGTCATCAAGAATCTTGAAGTCTTCTGATGTGACTACAACAAAGGATGTACTTATATATTTACAGAATAGGGTGGAAAAGCCAATCTTATACTGTGAAACAACTGTTTTTTAATGTCAAAACATCGTGGATCTGTAAAGAGACCATGTGTGGCACTAATAATCTTTATTAATTCCAGTAAAAGCAATCCTTGACTGGCCTGCACAGAGTCCTGACCTCAACCCGATAGAACACCTTTGGGTTGAATTAGAGCCAGGCCTTCTCATCCAACATCAGTGCCTGACCTCACAAATGCGCTTCTGGTCAAACATTCCCATAGACACACTCCTAAACCTTGTGGAAAGCCTTCCCAAATGAGCTGAAGCTGTTATAGCTGCAAAAGGTGTGCCAACTCAGTATTGAAACCCTACGGACTAAGACTGGGATGCCATTACAATTCATGTGCGTGTAAATGCAGGTGTCCCAATACTTTTGGCAATATAGTGTATGTAAATGGATTGAAGCTACTGTGAGTAGAGGCTTTTAGTATAAATAATTCCTAAACGGTTTTAAAACATAACTGAATTGCTTATTAGCACTTTAGAAATTAAATTGTTGTATGCTTGGTGCAATAATATCCCCATCGTTGAATTGTTACAAAATAGATACACCTATGGGGACACTAGCTGAGAATGGAGGTAGCTATCCATAGACATCAATAATAATCACACAGTCAAAATGAAATGTCAGCACTGAGCTTAGATTTGGAGGTGTTTGGTACACTGCACTCCTTAGCAGAAAACATTTGCAGACCGTTTTTAGAAAAGAAAAATGTGTGTCCTCCATGATACGAACATATATACGTGCATCTGTAACACAAATATTGATCTAGAATTGACCTGTGAAGAAATGAAGAATGTTTTACAGAAACAGAGGACATAAGGAAACGCATTAAATGTTCACATAGAACTGCACATATGAATCACAGTGTGCTCTCCACTGATTTTAGTACTGAAATCTACAGAGAAATCTAGCTGAGGTCTATGGCTTTGCTGAATAGTTAAAGTATACCACTAAATTTAATATTTTATAAAGTAATCCCATGATTCTTCAGAAAACTAACAATTTAAAGGACGTGTCATTACTACACTTACCACAGATAGAGGAAACATTGGGGTGCCATTTTGAATGATTTGCATTCAGAATGAATTGGGGGGAGTGCTTAATTAGGCTCACTTCTGCATATAAACCAATCAGCTTCCAGGTTATATCACCAAAGCTTAATTGAACAAGCTAAATTTAGAAGCTGATTAGTTTCTATGCAGAAGTGAGCCTGATTTTGCACTCTCCAGCTTTAGTAAATAAACCCACTGTGTCTATGGTTTTTTTAGTAGTGGGAGTAACTTTGGCTTCAGCAGTTCAAGTTAGTCTAGTAACAATATCAAATGAAACCGCACACTCCTCTTTCTTTCCTGAAATAGTAAATATTAAATATTTCATATTTACCTAATTAATTCTGTTTTAAGTCCAGAACATAATAAAGAAAATATATAAAGAAATTGTAAATTCCTGTTGAGGGCCGGTTCACACTAAAACGTTGTGTGGGAATGGCGTGGTCCATGTACGTTTCCTGCACCGCAGTTGAAAGTGCCACCCTTGCCAGAACGCAAAGATGCTAATGAATTGTTAAGGGCACCCTAAACGCATCTCACGAACACAGTGTGTTTGTGGCCACAAAATTGTAAGGTACTACAGTTCAATGCAGTTTCGAGCGGTGCAGTCTAAACAAAATAGTATTTGTACTAATGTTTCAGTGTTTCTGTGCATTGTACAGCACATTCAAATAGTCATGAAGTCAAAACCAGACCACATAGGAATACACGTTTGAGTGAGCGTTTTGGTGTGAACCGGCGTTTAAGCATGAAAAATGAATATGTGTATGCACAGTATTTTATTATAAACACAAAAGTACACAGAATTAGGGAAATCAGTATTTTATTCCAATATATTTTGCTGATGTGTGCAAATTTATAAGACCTCTTCTTTGTAATGTACATGCATGTTACACTGAACGTTGTCATGTTTGCATGCACTTATTTCTCTATTTATACCCATGTTAACTTTAGAATTAAAAACAACATGAAAAAAAAAAGTTCAAGAATATATTTACAGAATTGACGATGGTATTGGCAGTTTAAAAACTAAAGGAAGACTAAGCTGTTAATGGAGAAAAAAAATAATTTTGCTATATAATTTAAGAGCTCATAATCTAATAAAATGTCCCCATTAAAACCAAACATCTTGTAAACAACATTACATTAACAGTTATATACAATTTACAATCTTAGTAGGAAATATATTTCTGGTTCATCAGTATTGCATGGCTCAGTCTGATAAGTGAAATGATCTCTACAAAACAGATCACTGTGTCCATAAGTTTGAGAAGAACATGCACCCTCTGGTATACCTCTGCCTTCTAGGCTATCCAAGTTAAAGTTACTGCAGTACCCTGCTATATAAGAGCCAGTGGAATGTCTGTTTACAGGCTGAGTGGAGGTTGGTGGTTTGTTCCGAAGAACTACTCCATTTGGAATTTGGTTGACATGTTTTAACCTATTGGCCTCCTGTCTCTCCTTGGCACGGTTTGCAATGTTTCTCACTCTACTTTGACTTCTTGATGATAGCTTCCGAGCTAGAGGTTTAGGTTTGTCCCATTCATCATCTTCACAGTATAGTGTTTTATTACAGTCTTCCTGGTCATAAGATACCAGTTTCCTCAACTGTTCAGTCAATGCGTCTGTTGACTGGTGTTTAGTTTTTGCAAAACAATTTGCATCCTGGGCATTGCCAGATAAAAGGAAGCCCCTATTTATTCGCTTGTACTTGCTGTCAAAATTGCAAGATATGTCCTCTGAAGTCAGATCTCCAAGACTCTTTGATTTGCATGGACTTGATTGATTAGTTCCCTGTTCTGAACAAATTGGATATTTGAGTAAGTGAGGGATATGGAAGCTGCCTTTATGGGCACCATACTGATGACCTTTTGTAACTTCTGAGGTTGGGTATTGGTCATGGTCTTTATACTGATTTAACTGGATGACTTGATTTTGTTTTTGTCCATCATAAGTGTTGCTTATACCCTGTTTGCTGACATTGGTATTTAGTATCTGTGCTTGATATATTTTCTTTGAATTGCTATCACAACTGTGATTATGTTTGTAAAACAAGGAAGATCTACAATTCAGATCGTTATCTTGAAAACTGTGTGTGACACACCCTGAGATTCCTTTTGAACAACAGATGGACTACTATTGGATTTAATTATGGGTGGCACTGAAGGAATTTTATTGTGTGCATTGTCTGTATGGCAAACTGAGTCATGGTTCAGTAGACCTCTCCAACTTGCTAGTTGAGTCCTTGAAGGCTTAGGCTTTATCTCAGGATACAGCACTTTTGCAGGCTTTGGCTTTAATTCAGGATAAGGTGGTTTGCACTGAGACTTTCCTGATTCATGTACTATTCTGTTCTCCATTTGGACAGTGTTTGCATCCATTAACATATTACCAGTTTCTGGCGTCAAGTTTTCCTCATTAATAATTGTGTACACTGAATATTCTGCTGTCTCTGAGCTAGAGAAAATAGTTGTGTCAGTTGTGGAGTGTAACAATCTGTCCACATGGGTTGAACCAGGACAAAGCTTTTTAGGTGTTGAAACAGAAGGCATGATCATTTGTGAATATCCAGAACACTGTAGATTATTATTGGTGCCATTTAAACTGGAGACATGAATCAAACTAGCTCTGTCTTCAGTGCCCTCAAACTGCCCAATCAAGGCAGAGATTGAGCTGCCAAGTTCACTCTCATTTACAGAAGAAACCTCATTTATTATTTGAGATATATCGTTTTCTAACATAGCTGCAGTGGTCTGTAAATTATTGACATCAGTGAAGATGGTACTTGATAAATTAGTAATAGATGGACATTCTTTTATATTGCATGCTGAGGTTCTGGTTGAAAACTCAGTTTGAGGATGTGAATCTGATAATGATTTTGGTTTAGAATCCTGCACAATGTATTCTATCTGTTTGACTTCATCCTTTCCATCTTCTGATTCACTGGTATAAGTATCATTAAATTCCCTGACATCATCTTCAACATTCTTTCCATAGTCTAAATGTAAGCTTTGCCATTTTTTATGTATAATGTTTCCTTTGGCAGTGGTATTAGCCTGATATGGATCTCTGGGAAGACATGCAAGATTCTGGGAATTTTCAAGTATTGGTTCTTCCATCAGTGGTTTGCCTTGGCTCTTACATTCCTTCTTCCCTAAACAATCAATTTAATAAGTGTTATTTTTCATATCATAACCATAAAGCCTATTAACAGGACCAGTATATCTAAAATGCCAATCATTGAATATTTAAATATATTCATAACATTTACAAACATGTATGTGTAAGTTTTCCAACAAATTTACATGCCCTAATAATTTGTAATTACTTTTATTGTTCAGTCTTCTGTTTTTAGGTAAAGGGAAGTAGAGTATTTTCAGCAAGAATGTATTTTGAGATAATTTGCCTTTACCTAATTTGCCTTAAACAAGTTCCGTATGAAAACATCCTGCTATTCAAGGGGTTAAGGCAAGCTCATCAATTTCCTCAATTTCTAGTATCAATTTTTAAGTGCTACTTTCAGCTAAAAGTGATCCAGGCAGCAACACTTTTTGCTGGACTCTGAACATGCAGCCCCACATTGGCAGTGTCTGTGGTAGTTTCCAGGCTTTCCAGCACCTCCAGGAAGCTCAGGACTGTGGTAAGCTTCTGGGGCTTTGAGAGCAGAAGGTGATCTCATTACTATTGACAATGAAAGTGACGTTTATTACATCACGTCACTTCTGGGTTCACAGCTGTCATTCCCTGGCTACTGTAATGGAGGATGCAGCTAAATCAAGCGCAAACTGTGCTTAATTAGCTGTAGTAGAGGACAAGGGAGACATTGGGGGTCCAACAGACCCATGGGGGTTTATTTTCTAAAGCTGGAGAGTCCAAAATCAGACTCCCTTCTGCTTAGAAACCAATCAGCTTCTAACCTCAGCTTGTTCAATGATTGGTTTCTATGCAGAAGGGAGTCTGATTTTGGACTCTCCAGCTTTAGTAAATAAACCCCATGATGTCTTTATAAAGAGACCTTGACACTTGCCAGTTGCTATCACATATGGGGTTTGTTAGTCCACTTGTGATAACAATAAAGGTAACCATCTCCAGTCCGGGACATTTCTGGCACTTTTTGTTCACATGTAACGTTCAGTATTGTTTGCTAGAAAATTAATTAAACCCCCAAACATTATATATTTTTTAAAGCAGAGGCCCTAGAGAATAAATTGGTGGGTTTTTTTGCAATTTCTTATGTCACATGGTATATGTGCTGTGGTTTTTCAAAAATACTCTTTTTTTAAATTTGAATACATAAAAACACAATACATAACCCATTTTTTTTTGTAAAATATAAAAGATGATGTTAAGCTAAGTAAATACATACGAAACATGTCATGCTTTAAAATTGCGCACACCCATGCGACGGTGACAAACAATGTCAATTTTACTATTCATAGGCGACTCTTTAAAAGCCTATACAGGTTACCACTTTATATTTACAGATGAGGTCTAGTACTAAAATTACTGCCCATGATCTGTCGTTCATGATACCTCACATGTGTGAGTCGATCACTGTTTGCGTGCATGTGGTACTGACGGGCGCATTCATCTTTGGGAGTGAGCATGGGAGGATTGGGCACTTTCATTTTTTTAATTATTACTTTATTTTATTTTTACACTGTTGCTTTCATTTGATTTTTTTTGTAAACATCCCTTGTGACAGTAATAAGCATGTGGCATATGCTCTCTAGGGAGAAATCTGAGGTCTATAATACCCCAAATCCCTCCTCTGCAGTTAAAAGCATTCAAAACACCAAGATCGGTGTTTTTAAATGCTTTTTATTTTTTTAAATGGCACGAGTAAACCAGAAGTGATGTCAGGCCATCACTTCCTGTTTACTATAACGGAGAGACAATTAAAGCAGTCACTTGGGTCTCCCAGTGGGACGGAGAGCCAAAGAAAGCCGCGGAAGGCAATGGGAAGGAGGAAATGTCCCCTCCCCCTGCCTGTAATAGCAATCGTGTGGCAAGATAGCTGCCCCTGCTATTACAAGAAAGTCAACTGCCTGCTCTAACAAAAGGCACCGGGGTGATGCCTGCAGCTGTGTGTGCACAGAGGTGAATTCTTGTGAACTTCGAGAATAAGAGGTCCCACGGTGTCTTCAGCTGCAGAGGTCAGTGAGGAATTGTTTCAAAGCTCTTGTAAATATTGAATGTTTATAGCTTGGCTACAATTCTATTTAAAAGTATTGTTTGATGTGATTTTCCTATTTTTACATGCTTCTCCTTAATACCTGTATTCTTTTTATCTATTTTTTTTATTTAGTGTAGAGATTAGCCCCTAAAAGAAGCTCTGTTTTTTGCTACAGTCACTCTGCACTTCCCACTTCAACCCTCCTAATAATGAGAATCCTAATAGGAAGTTAGTGAATATATAAATATCTCAGCCAAACAAAAACATGTTTCAGCATATTAATTTCCACTGTATTCTTCTGAAATGTTCACATACATATTTGATAATGTTAATTAATATAGTATATAAACTAATTTTTGTTTTACTGGTTCTTGGTGCACTGGAATACACATACACATGAATGGTGTGGAAAAGTGCAAAGACATAATTATGGACTTCTTGTGCACTGTGCAGACAACTTTTGGTATGAAATGAAGGCACAATTACACCATTTTGAAACCACTTAAAATTTCAGAATAATGATATTACATCCAGCATGTGATGTAATATTACTGGAAGTGAAGGCAATGAAATACCACACTGGATACATTTTTTTTTTACCTTTAGCAGTTTCCTAATTAGAATTGTACTAGAAAACACAACAAAACAATTCTGTTAAATCAGAAATCAATTTAACACAACGTATTCTAGCTTTGTGCAGATGCACGTTATAGATCAGTTTGCATAAATAAAACTAAAAACAGGATTTTTTACTTACTGTACAATCGTTTTCTTGGAGTTTGTGAAGAAACACAGGAGCAGAAGGAATTCTAAGATGTATGGGTTATACTGTCACCTTCAGCAGAGCTGGACACTGGCAACAGAAAAATTGTTAGCCAGTTTAATCCCCCCCACTTCCATCATTCTTCAGTTTTGTGCAAAAGCAGTAGAAGAAGAGATGCTAAGACAGATGGTGATACTTGTGCCCCTTAATGAACTCCAAGAAAAAATGTTTTAAGATAAGTAAAAAATCCAATTTGCCTAATAGGTTATTAAGAAACACAGGGTCAGAAGGAATCTTAGATGTATATAACATCCCAAAATCTATCTAACTGAGGGGTGGGCAAACAGTCTAGAGTGGAATAGGGTGAAGGGGATTGTTTTGAAGGCCATTAAGCCCAGAACTCTCATGCATAAGCAAGAGAGTTAGATGGCTTCTGGACTGCAGAGTGCAAACATGGGAGTGAAGAGTTAGAACTTTGTCTTGTGGCAGAAAAACCCTTGACAGTTCCAGCACTAACATCTAGAGATCTGAGATCTCTGGACAGCTTGAACAGTTTGTTGGATATTGACTGATACACCATGTGTGGATGGTTCCCTCAGTAGGAGGTCATCCACAAATCCTATTATTTGGATGCACTGTGAACATAGCAAGGCTTGAACAGAAGTTGACAACTTTGTGAAACTTGAGGTGCAGTGGACAGGCCAAATAGAAATCCAGAAAACTGGTAGCATTGCATGCCCACAGCAAAGCACTGGTAGCAATGATGTGTTTGAAAGATGGTGACATGCAAGTAAGAATCCCTGATGTCCACAGTGACCAGAAAGTCTCCCAGAAGGAGAAAAGCAATACATGACTGGGTGTATTCCATGTTGAATTTTCTTAGTTACAGTGCCTTCTGGCCTAAAATGCGGTGATCACCACTGTTGAGTTGAGTACGAGTACAATTTGGAGTAGAAACCATAAAACCTCTTTTTCTGAAACAATGGCAGAGGAGAGGAGTTGTGCTAGGGCAGCATAGAGGTCAGATAATCACTGTGGAGATATTGGTAGATGTGACAGCATAAAGTGGGGTGGAAGTAGAGTTTTCTAGCTTGTAGCTTCAGGACACCATGTCACTCACCTATGTATCCAATAGGCTTTCTGGCCACATGCTTGCAAGGGCTAAAATATGTTTCCACTTTTGGAAGTGGGTGTGTCTCCTCATTTTGAGAAGGTCTTGCTCGCAGGTTTGGAAGGTTTTAGCATCCAAGGTTTTCAATGGAACAAAGTCCCAATCTTGGACTTGGGATAAGGGCTCTGACAGAAATGAAAAATAATTCTTCTTAGTTCCAGAGGAAGAAAAGTTTTCAGCCTAAGCTTTAGCTTTCTTCTTTTGCTTGGGTAAGAGGGTACATTTTTTCTGTAGTGACATTTGTAAATGTTTAATAAAGCTGTCCAGGGAAGCACCAAAAGAGGTATTTCTCATCTAAGAGCATAAACAGTAAGTGTTTTATGCACTGGTATTCAGAAGACCAAAATTAAACATATACATGGTCCAAACCCCCAAGGCCTAGAAAAAAATAAATGACAGCAAGAGCAGGTTGCAGAGCTGAACCTGCCAGGAAAAATAAGGACTTTGTCAACCAGGTCTTTAACCCTTTTACTGTGTCAACGGAAGGTTTTACACACACTCTCTGCAGCTACAGCCACCGGGAGTGTGTGTATACCTGATAATAGGACTTTATGCACACCCCAGTAATGGATTCTTCCCCGCCTCCACTGACGGATCCGGAACTAGCATGGCAAGTGCCGCTGGGTAGAAGGGAGGCAAACCAGGAAACATTCACTCATGGGCCTCCCAAGCACTTAAAATCCCTCCCCAAGAAAACATTTGAGCCCCCCACCCCCCACATACACAAACACAAACGTAAATGAGCGCCTATGCGTGAAAACGTTGAGTGCGCTACATGTTAAGCATCTCACTTGAACTGAGCGAGAGCAATCATTTTAGGCCCATTATTCATGGATAACTGATGACCTCTAGGGGCTTTTAAAAGTCACATATGGAAAATATAGGGTATCGAATTTTGTTTCTGTTTCATGGGATGTAAATTTAAAATTCGTTGGGTATCTATTTACTCGATGAAAACATCATCTTTTTATATTTTACAAAAAAAGGTTTAATCAAGTGTGTCCCATCTCTGGCTGCTGCAGCATTTTCTACAACTTTTCTTTATCTTGCACTCCTCTGTCAGCGCCAAGTGCCTGATGCTGAGATCTGTAGTTCCACTGAATGCAAAGTGTTCTCTGAATGGAGGAGCTGCAGATGAGTATCATGATCTAATTCCACCAATCACAGAATGTCTTCAGTGAAAAGTATGCAAGGCTTTATATGAAAGGAGGGAGTGCAAAGTGAGCAGTGTCAGGTTCTGTGATATCTGTACTGCAGCAGGAACTACACCCTACATTCGGTGCTTACAGAGAGAATGTGTACTAACTTAAATTAAAATGGCAAACAATCTTTTTTGGCCACACTTTAAATTTAAGGCAAAAAATGGCTGGGATCACAACGGGCAAGGGGATAAAATCAAGAGTTTTATGTATATTTGCCAGGCTCCACAAAAAAGGGGAGTGAAGGCCTCATACTTTCTACATTAGCGGTCTGCAGGGCGACCTGCAGCTAACAGACACAATAGCAAGGCACTGGTATGTGCCATTGCAGGACCCAGTGCAAAGATCACATTCCAAACAGGGACATCCAGGGACAAGATGTGTATCACATCCCTGGAATTGTAAAGCACTCTGCAGCTAATTGACACAGTACATTGGGTGTCTGGAGAGCACCACAAGCACAGCCTGATGCTCAAAGGTCACAATACAAATTACAAAACCTCCATGTGTAGGGTCGAGGTACACCATCTAAGGCAGCATCGAGGCTCAGCCCATTCAGAAAACTAGGGAGCTCTCTTGGCTCTGTAGATAACAAAGAATTTTGACTGAAACAATATGTTTTGATAAAAAAAAAAAAAAAAAGAAAAAAATGTTTTTTTGCATTTCTTTGAGGAGAACAGAAATCTATTTTCTTAGGACACTAGAAAGAAATCGAAGCGAGAGTGGGAAACGTTATACTAGGTGACTAAACATTTGTTTGCTGCCAGTGTCCAATTGTCTTGTAGGTGGCAGTATAGCTCATATGGCTCAGAATTCCTTCTGACCCTGTGTCCTTAATGCACAATTACTGTAAAACATTAAGGTATTCTCTATGACTCTAATGACAAAATTGCATACATTCTTGGTGCTCCCATGAATTAGATCTCTTTCCATCCTGATCTTACTGGTGTGTCACAGCATAAGAGCTGAGTAAATAATGATCATACTGTCTCTTATATGTAGTGGAGCCCATGGATACCATGGTTATGAGAAATAATGAAGGTGTTGCATATAGCAACACTTTAGATACATGCTTTTATTTTCAAGCGAGAAAGAACTGCAACTTTAGGATGACTGATTAGCACAGAAGAAATATGCCTGAACAATAGTAATGAGTATAAGTCTATCTTATTTGCTATTAATAAGTTGATGTGACTTCAGTTAAAATAACCTTCTATTAGTTGGGGGAAGAGGGTCAATTTTAGCTCCTCTCTCACAATAAAGGACTACAAACTTAAAGGCCAGTTCCAGCTGACAAGTAGTAGCACGAGATATAGAAGAGACCAATTCAGGTCAAAGTAACAGTTTCTTTTTGATGGCTTCCCCCTTAAACCCTTATACTCACCTTGCCAGGAGTTCTTCAAAACTTCTACATATGTCACTGCCAGGCACTAATATCCCAAGTGATGATTGTTGTCAGATGCTAAGGGAAGTGGTGAAGTCAGTCACCTGATCATGTGACAGTACTCAGCTGCTACACCTGAGCACAGTCAGATGCAAGATCCTTTCCCATACCTAGAAACACTGTTTGTTGTTGGTGGCTGTGATGAGGCTTAGCAAGAAAATGTAGAGCCCTTAATATCAGTGTTTCCATGCCAGATGAGGTTAGTTACAGTGCCTTGAAAAAGTATTCAACCCCTTGAAATTTTCCACATTTTTTTATGTTGCAACCAAAAACGTAAATGTATTTTATTGGGATCTTATGTGATAGACCAACACAAAGTGGCACATAATTGTGAAGCGGAAGGAAAATGATAAATGGTTTTCACAATTTTATTTATAAATAAATATCTGAAAAGTGTGGTGTGCATTTGTATTCATGCAGAACCACCTTTCGCTGTAATTACAGCCTTTCTGGGTATATCTCACGCTCTGTCAGATTGGATGGAGAGCATCTGTGAACAGCAATTTTCAAGTCTTGCCACAGATTCTCAATTAGATTTAGGTCTGGACTTTGACTGGGCTATTCTAACACATAAGTATGCTTTGATCTAAACCATTCTATTGTAGCTCTGGCTGTATGTTTGTCCTGCTGGAAGGTGAATCTCTGCCCCAATCTCAAGTCTTTTGCAGACTATAACAAGTTTTCTTCTAAGATTGCCCTGTATTTGGCTCCATCCACCTTCTCATCAACTCTGACCAGCTTCCCTGTCCCTGCTGGAGAAAAGCTTCCCCAAAACATGATGCTGCCACCATCATGTTTCACGGTGGGGATGGTGTTTTCAGGGTGATGTGCAGTGTTAGTTTTCCGCCACATATAGCGTTTTGCTTTTAGACCAAAAAGTTAAATTTAGGTTTAATCTGACCGGAGCACCTTCTTTCACATTTTCTGTGTCCCCCTTATGGCTTCTCACAAACTGCAAGCAGGATATCTAATGGCTTTCTTTCAACAATGGCTTTCTTCTTGCCATCTTTCCATAAAGGCCAGATTTGTGGAGTGCACGACTAATAGTTGTCCTGTGAACAGATTCTCTCACTTGAGCTGTGGATCTCTGCTGCTTCTCCAGAGTTACTATGGGCTTCTTGACTGCTTCTCTGATTAATGCTCTCCTTGCCTAACCTATCAGTTTAGGTAGACGGCCATGTCTTGGTAGGTTTGCAGTTGTGCCATACTCTATTTTCAGATGATGGATGTTCAAGCTTGGGATTTTTTGTATAACCTAATCCTGCTTTCAATTTCTTCACTACTTTGTCCCTGACCTGTCTGGTGTGTTCCTTGGCCTTCATGATGTTGTTTGTTTACTAATGTTCTCTAACAAACCTCACAGAACAGCTGTATTTATACTGAGATTAAATTACACACAGGTGGACTCTATTTACTAATTAAGTGACTTCTGAAGGCAGTTGGTTCCACTAGATTTTAGTTAGGGGTATCAGAATAAAGGAGGCTGAATACAAATGTACATCACACTTTTCAGATATTTATTTGTAGAAAATGTTGAAAACCATTTATCATTGTTCTGTCACTTCACAATTATGTGCCACTTTGTGTTGGTCTATCACATAACATCCCAATAAAATACATTTACGTTTTTGGTTGTAACATGACACAATGTGGAAAATTTCAAGGGGTATGAATACTTTTTCAAGACACTGCAAATGCTTAAAATAGTCACAAACAACTAACATAATAATGCTATTAAAATTATAATCATTGATCTCCACATGGCAAAAAGAATTCAAACTTTAAACGTGACTCTATCACAGCTCAAACACAGGAAAACAAAATAAAGCTAATGATTACTATAGGCACATAGGAAAGACAGTTATTCTGTTTATTTCATTTAATTTTCATTAAAGGAATAATTTCCCAAGAGAAATGGTTGCTGCCATTGCTGACCCTATTTTTAAAATGCTAGCCACTTGTCTCTGGCTTTAGTACTTTCTCATAGACACGGGACAAAGCATTCAACCAGTGTAGTAAGTCCTGATCTCTAAGACAGCACTGAAGCTAAAGGAGCAGCCTACCTATATCTCTTAGTAAAGGTTTCTTAACCCAAGGTTTATTTTGATACATGTTTTTAATACATTACCTGAAGTTATGTCATTTGATTTGGTATCCTTAGATGTCTGTGATGTAGAAGGTTCAAAGGCCCCAAGAACAAACTTGTCCACTGGCATGGAGACAGGCCTCGACTGTAGACTTCGGGAAGTTCTTCTCATTACAACATCTTTTTCCTTAGCACCAGACACCTCACATGGAAGGTCTCTGCTCTCTGTGGACTCTTGAAACACCATTTTGGTCTTCTTTCTGCCTTTTGCAGGTGCGCTGGCAGTACGTCTCAATATCCGGTCTCCAATGGAACGTTTTCTTATGTGACCATTGCTTTCCACAGAACTATGCTTTGAATTTTTAGTGAAAAGCCCTTTAAGTCCAATAAATTGCCTATTCTAGGATAAAACACACACAATACATAAAATATTACATTATTTTCAGTGTATAGGTGACTACTAACTAAAGGGGTCTTCAGCTTTCATAAAAAAGTATTTTTTGGTTCCAGAACTCAACAAATCTCAACATTCTAACAAATTTTCCTGATGATATTATTTTACAGGCAACAGAGGTAAAACCTGAAAACCCCATTTAATGCATATAAAATGAGATGTCACACCAATAACACCATAACCTGACAAATCCATGCATGTATAAACACATCATGGCCGATATGACTTAAAGTGATTTTGCCCAAAAAAAAAAATGCTGCTCTCAAATATGAACTGCAGGTAGCTAGATATGCTGGCACGTGTCTGCAGCAAACATTACCAAGAAGTGCTGTATCACTCAGAAATGGTCTGGGATTCTGCCATAGCAGTAAGGGTATACAGGCACCTCTAGGCACTTCATGCTTTATAACGGATTTTTTTTTTAATTACAGAGTCACTTTAGGTGCATATATTTTTAGAGTTGCAATAGAATGGTTTCACAGACATATGAACTGTATGCATACTATGTGTACTGTATGCATAATAAAACTACAACCACATGTGTCTCAGCAGCTTTTCAGTGCTTGAATGGGATAACCAAAGTTCAGTGACACACTAATGTATATTGTCATGCAATAGATATTAACTTGCTAATATTATGAGTCTACCTTAGTGGCTCCTAGAAAGTGTAATATAGTATAACTGGGGTTGAGGATTAAAGGACTCCACTGAAATGGAAAAAAATTAACATTTTTAGTTTTTTTAATAGGCAGCATGCCAGAAAGCATATTTAAGCATTAGTAAATGAAAACCTGTAAATTAAAGGATTTATTATTCCTCCATAAAACAATATGAAAATACTCCTTTACACTGAGCTTGGATAGCTAAAATAATTAGAAATTCATCAGTGAAGAACAGTTAATAGCACAGAAAACACTCAGATGAAAATTCTACTGATCGATTAATGAACACAGAATCTGTACAGTTAGTAGCAGAGCTGGGCTTAATCTGAATATCAAAAGCCTTTCATTAGCTAGGGAAAATTCAATCTTGCATGCATTTGTCAAAAAAAGCACTCCCACATCACTGACAAGAAAATTATTATTGCTGTTGTCTAAAAGCAGAATATACTTCTGGGTAATGTCAGTAAATGACTGCCACATACATGGTATTTCCCAATATTGTTTCTATTTTTGGAGTAGCTATCCTAGCCATCCTATTTGGGATGTACATCGCAAATCTTCTTAATGTAGAATATGAATGTAAACAAAATCAATTTTAACTGTATGACCTACATACCCTCAGCATTGTAACAAAAGTGAAAATTGCAAAAACAGTACTTGGTACTAAAAACCTTGCCCAACTCATTCCATAATACTATGGCAATGTGAATGCCAAACTGAGAGGATAGCCCAGACTTTCTCAGCAGAAAGACACATGAAATTGTCAATTACCCTTCCCACTCTCACAAAACCTAATTTCAGTGGCTAAAGTAAGCCCACCCTACATGGTTTAACCCTTCAGCTTCTGTAATTCAACATTTTCAACATTTAAACTCTCAGGTACAGTTTCTGTGAAGCTGGGAGCTAGCAGTGCACACTTACACTTGCTCCATGTTTTCTGAAAATTTTGTCAACACAGTTGCAGGACTCAAGACTAGCGATTAGGAAGCAATCAGCACGATTACCATTCATGTAAACACCATGACAGGCAGTCATACCAATCACATACCCATTGTTTGCAAACAAGTATATCCAATCTGCAGCAGGTGGCACTGTGCCTATCTATCTCTGTTTTCGCTGTGTACAGTGAAAGAAGTACAGTGTTAAAAATCATTACAGCATGTAAAAAAAAAGAAAATTAAAGTCTGATTAAAATCTAATTTGTGTAAACTAACCAAAAATTAATTTTTGCCATTTATTAGCTTATAATACAAAACATAATTAAAGTACTCATTAAAACATTAAAAACCTTCTCTTTCCTTAAAAACATGTAAAAGCTACTTAGGTAAGCAAATTGCTCATATAGTTATTATCAATATAACTAATGCATACAGAAATTTCTAAATTTGGTCCAGACATCTAAATTTTAATGACTATCAGTCATGGGGGGGAGGGGGGACGGGTACACAGAGTACACTCTACACAAGGAAGGCAGTTCATGTAACAGGTCAGCAACTGGCAAATCATATATATATATATATATATATATATATATATATATATATATATATATAAAGTATAAACAAGAAAGGTCCATTACAACACACAATAAATATTTTCTTTAAAATTTGAAGCTGTGAAGAATATTGATGTTGGCCACAGCAACCAATCCCATGCTGGCTGTTTTTTTTAAATTCACCCAAAGCAATCTGACAGATTGTGTTAGGCAACTGCTTATTTTTTCAAATTGAGATTTAGACTTCTTTAGTGAATACAGTATCACTCACTCAAAGGGCTGTCTTAAAAATGTGAAGCAGTAATTTGGAGAATTTCGGTGTAGCTTGTATATATTATTTCCTTATCTATTACAGAATCTATGCAAATTCATAATCAATGAACAGTGAAAAAATGTCAGCCTACTTACCTTCCCATAAATCTCATTAATTGTAACGTGGACAAAGATTGATGCTTCTGTCAAACCTTCCAAATAAACATGTCGGTATCCTGAAAAACAATTGAAATACAATAACTGTTGCATGTAGTTTAACATTTTCTTGTCCAAGACCAAATTATATTGTTGTAGGTAAAATAGATTTGAATGTCTAATCAATCACTGATTAATAATTAATACCCTTGCACTCACCAGAAATGAGTAACTTGAACACATAAGGGTTGAATTACTAAAACAATTTTTAATGGCCAACTAAACGTATTTATAAAATATTAGAAACATTAAAAAAAATCTCCCAGTTCTCTTTGTGTACCTGAAAATACAAGACATATTACTATGTACAGCTCACAGTCCATCCCAGCCATAGAGGATGTACAGCATTTAATAATTTGAAGTTTTATGGGTAACTATAAAAAGATTCTTAAGCCCTTATTAGTGCTGTGCAAGCACAGAAAATGCTTGCAGAATGCTACAGGAGTATGACAAGAGTAAATTATAATTTGGAAGCAACATCTCTGTGTTTCAGAAAAGTAGAAATAGATTGTATACATCAAGAACCATGAAATTGACTATGGAGAGTCTCTATAAACTCATACTTACCACTAGGAGAAGCTAGAATTGGTCTTATTTCATAACTCAAGCCAAAAAGGACAATTTTGGAAATAGGTGTTGCTTGGGTAACTGTTTAACACTAATAATGACAAAATATAGTGAAAGGTTTATACAACAGAAAAATAATTATCACACTTACCAGGCAAAAGACTGCTGAAGGCAACAGTCCTCTGGCCAACAAAATCCCGTCCAATTGGATCATGGTCCCATACTAAGAACCTCACAAGTGCTATCTCTGGCATATGGATTGTAAATGTAAGGGTCTCCTCCCACACTGGATTAAATCCTGAGATAAACATTGCATAAAATGCAAAGACAAAGTTACATTACAATTATGGTTTGGTAAGTTTTATCTCAATAATTGGTATTGAAGGTAACTGGACATCTGAATATCCTCCTAGCTCAGGGGGCTGAAATGCTTACATTTCTGTAGAAAATGCTACTTCAGACACCCCCCACTTTTGGTCATGTGACTAAAGCCATGGCATTTTCTTGACATGATCTCTGCTGAAGGGGAGAAAAGGTCAATCTGTAATCTGTCCTTAATCTCAGAAAAAAAGAGTTTTTTTTCAGAAAAGTATGTATTTCAGCTCTTTTATTACTCTTTGAATATCCATCTTGGCAAGACTGCACACAAAGCTTTATTTTAACATTTGAGAATGGTTCTGCTTTAGGTTGTTTTGTTAAAGACAATTACAAAATTACATGACGTAGACACAGCTGTTCAAACTGTAAGTGCTGGGCTGACAGCATAGATCTCAGTGTGCAGGAAGAATAAGACTACCAGTCATATGACACAGGATGGCTGTGTGGGGTTCTGCAGGACCTGCTCTATGTTTTGAACCTATGGTATCCTATCATCTGGTACATTCTGGTCATTCTATCAGCTACATGTGTCACCCAGTGGACTAGAAAAGACTTCTTTTGATTGTGGGAGGGAAGCTCCCCCCCCCCCCCCCCCGAAAAAAAAAAAACAAGTTAAGTTTACTTTTTCTTGCTTAATTACGTTTATCTTTTTTACAGTACTAGGACTGTTTTTTTTTTTTATTATAAATCATGCAGTTTTCTGCTGTAAAGCACAGAGCATTTTTAATACTAAGCCTGTATGAAACGTCAAACCATTACTGCCTAAATTACATATATTATCTTGTTACTTTTAATTAATGTGAAGGCAGTCTGCTGTCTCTAATATTTTCATCTTGAAAACAACATTCCATAATTTTATGTTTACCAAAGAGCGAGATTTGGAAAATTCTTTTGAAAAAAGAAAAAAAAAACTTCAGCGGCTGCAGAAGAACTAATTATGCCTGTTCTAGCCGTGTATTTTATCATATATATTTAAAATGGGAAATTAAGAGCTTTCAAAGAGTATCTTGTCAGTGACTCGTCGTCGGAATTCTGCATACCTAGATGTAATGCAGCCTAATTCCTGAACTAATTATCTAGGTAAGTCTAGCATGCAAATGCACTAATTAAGGATGATGCTGGCTTAGTGTTGAAATGTAGTCACTTTCTGATCCAGTAACCAAGTGTTCTATAAGATTGCAATGCTAAGGTCAAAGATGGTACTCAAAAGAAGAGGAGGAAAATTGCTCCTCTTCTTTCAAGTATCATTTTTGATCAGGGACAGCTGTATTTTTGGGAGTTAAAGCAGCCTTTTTTCCATAATTGGCACAGGAGCTTTGGGAGCTGTGAAGAGAACACCGGATTCATTGGAACAAACTTATTTAGGCCCATATATTTATATAGGTCTAAATTTGGAGGTGAGCAAGCATTCTATGTGGTGGTGGAGGCACTGGTGTAATTTATTAATGGATCAGGAGAAAGAGCACGTATGACTGAGAATTAAATATTGGCACATCAAGTTGCAGTGTGGATCACTATTGCTTAATTTACATTGGAATTTACTATTTTGGACTAACTTTGGACAATATTATTTGCACAGTTTGAGTATTATCGCTGATTTTGAATTTAATATATTTTTATATATTACATTTGTTTTATTTATTTGAATGATGATCATGTGAATGCTAAGGTTCCATTTGCTAAACAATAATATGAGCGAAGTATAAAAAAAGAAAAGACTTTTACATGGCATAATGTAACAGCTTGGCTTTTTAAATATGGAATTAAGATTAAATGGTTGGTTTATCTGAAAATGTACCAATTCAGTGAGCCCATGAACAGACAGCTGTTATACCAGACAAACAGCTACATACATAGTTGATATTTTTAACCATTAAAGGATATGAAATTCCTGTATAGCCACTCAGTAATCCAGGCACCCCTATACCCCTTAAGACATCCCAAAATAGTACACAGGATCAGAAAATCATACGAAAAATACCGCTTTCGAAGCGATCGTACGACAATCTGATCGTTAGTACACAGCTTTCATCCAAAATGATTTGAGGGGATAAGCTCAAAAATATTTCTCATATGAAACCAGATCGTACAATTTCCGCTTAATCAGTACAGATTTTGTACGAAAATACAATACAAACACATTACATCACTTCCAAATTTTCTTTCTGTCATGCAAGAATTTTCATAACTTTAGTAACCTCTTTACTTTTGATATGAGACTAGCATAGAAAAAACGCACAATCATTCGTCCAATATTCTCATTGTATGTACGGGGCTTAAGTGCTGCCATGCAGGTGGTAAGGCTGATAAAAATTTGATTTAGGTACTTTAGCCAGCTAAAAAAACACCAAGAAGTTTAGCTTTTAATAGGATTTTCTAAATGCTCAAAATTTGAGAAAATCACGTCCAGAAAGGTTGCCCTTGTTACTCAAAGGTTTGAGAAAACACTGCTGCTGGGGGTCACTGATAAGACTATCAAGCTTGACCCTACAACCAGAAATGTTGCCCAGGAACACATACTAATATAGTGAATCATTTAACAAATGATCACATAATGGCTTCAGCTGGCTCTCCACCTATCAAAAAAGCCCCTCTGATGTTTCACCCTTGTAGGTACACACGATGAGAAAATCGAACAGAAAAAAAGCTTTAGGAGCAATCGCCCAATAATCCGATTGTTAGTACACAGCTTTTGATAGTCGATCACAACAGTTCATGAGAAAATATCTAAAGGGACAAGCACAAAACACTTTTCTCATAAGAAAACAGAAAGAACGATTTTTATGTAATTAGTATAGTATTTGTAAAAGAAATCAAGTGACCTCATGCACGGAAACAAAAGAATAGATTACAGTACTATACAATATATTACATTACATGTGAAGTTGTATTCTGCCTTACAAGAATTTTTGTAACTTTAGTAACCTATTCGTTTTTGATATGAGACTAGCATGTAAAAAAAAATGGACAGTCATTCGCCCAATATTCTCATTGAGTGTACTAGGCATAAATCTTAGAGAATACTCTTGTGTCATGCAATATTAATGCATTATATCAAGCAGAATTGCTCAACATGGAAAAATCCCTTAAAATTAGGTACAACAGTTTACCTCGAATACAGTAAAAAAAAACTTTCAACAACACAATCGAAAACTTGAAGTACTGTATTGCTAATGTCAGTAAACATCACTAAAACACCTAATACATCATGATAGAGACAAAATATTAAGGCTGGATTCATGCCTATGCTTTCACATTGTATAATCAATTTGTGGGGATGTGAACCTCATTAATTTTTAATGGTCCACCAATGCCCTTCAAGGCAGCAAACAACACAACTGACAATTTAGTGCTTTACAATGCAGAAATGTGGATACGCATGTGTTGTGTTGATTTGTGTTTGCCAAAACGTGCTAAAATGTAAATGCATAGGTGTAAATGGGCCCTGTAGGGTATGTCCATCTAAATCCTAATAAATTGGCTTTGGTAGATGCTTGAGAGTTAAATCACTTGGCAGCTTCTTGTATGTATCAGTGACTTTATAGGTGGGGTCTCTGCCCTTGAGTTCCTGGATCTGTATATCTACAGAGGAGTATCCCCTTTCAACTTTTTGCATTTTTTACATATAATATGGAAAATCTGACTGGAGGAGATGGAACACAAAAGTGTAAGGAAATACCAAAACTTACCAGGATATGGTAGTGAGAATTGTTGGACACACAGAATCCAAGGGCTGACTTATTCCACTAAGCTCCACCGTATTTAATAGGGGAAATGTGTATCAATCGAAGATTCATTTACAAATAAAATTCACAGTCACTCGCTTACTAATGCTTTTAGTGGCTGCATTTGGTGGACCTGTTCTATGCTTAGCAGATTTTGGACCAAAGTGCTTAAGCTACTACAAATTTTATTTAGTTGTTCCTGCCCAAGAGATCCTAGTACTTCTTCATCTCAAACCTCCCTTTCTCACTAAGCCCCAATTTAAATTAGCCACTTTTGCACTACTAGCCACTAAACAAACTATTGTAAGGGCTTGGAAGAAGGAACCCACAGAATTCACAAAAGACACATTCTTTATCAACTAGAAACATACTAGTTTACTAGTCTCCTACTTACCCTCAATTTCACATGAAAGCAATGCCTCTCTGCAGGTAGTATACTTCAGAGGGGAGCATGTGGAGAGCCTCTGTATCCTCTTTCCCCCCATCTCCTCAATGGCCACACTCTTTGTACCATTTCCTGTCCTCTTGCTCCCATCTACTCTGCTTTCTCCTCTTCCTTTTCTTTTTTTTTGGGTTTTGGAGAAATACCATGGCTCCCTCCCCTTTTTTTTTTCCTTCCTGAACTTTTACATAGTCCCTCGCTGCATCCTGGGCTCACAAGATTTTCAAGTCCATTATTACATGGCCCTACATTAATGACTCTTACCATCTCAACATCTAATTATAAAATGTAAAACTCTCTAATATTCTTTGAAAAAATGTTCAATAGAAACTGATTGAAAGTGAAAATTCACAGCCATATCATAGTTGATAAAACACAACAGTGTTGTAATCTTTCACAGCCACAATTAACATAAAACAAATTACCATTGTCATCCACCACTCGAGTCTGCTCTTTGCAGCAGTCAACAGGCAGACCAATCATTTCTACTTCGACATAAGGGTCAATGATCTGTAAAAATACAAGCGTTTGTATAAATCAAGCAACAATTTAGAGTATGATGAATTCTTCAACAGCAATCAGAAATTGATAATCCAATAAAGATCATTTAGACAGTTCGAAAGTATATAAGACATTGTCACATTATAACCTGCTAGCTCTCACTGTAAAATCACGTATGGATGTTACATATCAGGGGACAATAATAATTATGACAATGATAATGATGATGGTAAATTTGATAAATGTATTGAATGGTGATTATAATTAGAACAATGATGATGGTGTGAGAGTAAAATGAGTTTTCACTAATGATGACTATGGATACATTTTATGATACTGGAAAGATCTCATTATATAATGACGATAATGAGTATTAGCTGAAGGTGCGTAATGATGAGAATGATAACAAAATATTGCTATTTAATGATAACAACAGTGACAGAGTCGGGTGGACAGTGAGAGATTTTACAAGGGTATCAATTGACAATGACAGACAGACAGACAGACAGAATAATATTTTTATAATATTTTTATTGGATATAATGTGTATGAGAGATTAAAGCGGGACTATACTCACCTTGGCTCCAGTGATGCAATGTCTTGGAGCTCCCCTCTTTGAACAGCTGTCTTCTGGGTATCCAACAACTGGCTGATTTCATTAGCTGGGTGGGGGGGTGACGCATGTGCAGGAGTTCCGTCGGCTTCATCATTGTCAAATTTCTACAGTGAGTGAGTGTGCAGCTCACTGTACAGGGGCGGACAGGCAGGTAGGTACACATGTTAAATTCTTGATGCCAGTGTTGCGATATGTGTGTAAGTATGTGTATATATAAAATCTTCTATGTTTGTTTTAAGGCTCTATAAGAGTGAAAACACCGCTCCAGGTCCACCAGGCTATGAATAAGCAAGTGTAGAGTGAAAATTTTCAGTGGGTAACCTTGCTTCTCCACTGCTATTTCCTTGATGTTTTTATACTTTTTGTCAATTTTCTAAATAAAGGTGATTTCTACAGTAGTGCGGCTGTTCGGACTTCCTTTTTATCTATGTTTTATGGCTCTGTACTCATCGCTGTAATACTGATTGTTAAGCAGCCGTGTGCATTGTCCCATTGACAATCATGCATCTATATTCAGATCAGTAAAAAAGGGGGCTTATTATGCCAGTGTGCAAGAGGCTTTAATAGAAATGTGTAAAATTAACTGAGAGTATTGATAAAATTGATTTGAAAATGATATCTAATGATGTCAACAACAGATTTACATTGACCCTTTTCTATGCCAATGCAGGGCAAATTAAAAGGGCCACTTAACTCAAACCAAGGAAAGAAAGGCCTGTGTAGACTCCAAACTGACTTGTCAGAGCTCACGCATATGACTGAATCACATGCTCACCCACGTTTGGTATTTCGCTTCTCTCCTGGTGGCCGAATGGAGCAGAATGAAACTGAGGAAAAGCAGGTGTGTACTCTTGAAGGGTGAAAAGTGTCACATTAATGTTAAAAAAAATAGTGAATATGATAATGGTTTTAAAGAGGCTAATAATGGCTGTGGCAGCAGTGATGAATTGCATGTATTTTGCACAGAACTAGCCAAAATTTAAAATACATGATTTAATTTTTTTCTAGTGTTGCATGGAAGTGATGAACTATTCTTTACTGCTTATACTGTTCAGTTTTTGTATTTAAATCAGTTTTGCTATTGATCCTTACAGAAACAGGTTTAAGGAGTGTCAGTTGACTACAGTATAAGTACAGTATAGCAAATTCAGTCTCACCTCCCCTCGGTCTCCAAGCATAGAATCAGGGGGTTTTGGAAGCTGTTGTCCACTAATAATTTTAAGAATTAGTTGCTTTTTGGGGCTGGCAGGTAATGGGTCTCCAGAAAAAGGGTTAAATGCACCTACAGTATTATATAAGAAAAACAGGAAGAATAATGTAACTATGCGTGCAAGCAGACATTTTAATAGCTGTTTTTTTATGATAAGTGAAATTAAACTGCAATGAAAAAGAAAGAACAGTGTGACATGTCACTATTTTTCATCCTTGTTATTTATTCTGTAAGCAAGTCAGGTTATCTATGAAGCAGATTAAGTGATGACACTTAGCCATATTACAACAACCCCAATGCAACTGCCTCCTATGCCATTTTTTAGCTCAGGGGTTAAAATTTCGAGTCCAGACCTACTAGCGGGTCACAAAACTTACTCTCCACCAGTTGCGTCATCAAACCCCACCCGCCCCGCCCCAAGCGTCACCCCGGCCTGACCCCAAACTCCACCCGGCCCCGCCCCAACCACACCCCTTAAAGCTTATGAAATTACATTTTTCTTTAGAATAAGTCCAAAATATAAAACTGTACACAGTAATGTATATCCCAGCTCCCTGTACTCCATTATAGTGATATGACATGTATACAGTAATGTATATCCCAGCTCCCCTGTACTCCATTATAGTGATATGACATGTGTACAGTAATGTATATCCCAGCTCCCCTGTACTCCATTATAGTGATATGACATGTATACAGTAATGTATATCCCCCCTCCCCTGTACGCCATTATAGTGATGACATGTATACAGAAATGTATATCCCAGCTCCCCTGTACTCCATTATAGTGATATGACATGTATACAGTAATGTATATCCCAGCTCCCCTGTACTCCATTATAGTGATATGACATGTGTACAGTAATGTATATCCCCCCTCCCCTGTACTCCATTATAGTGATATGACATGTATACAGTAATGTATATCCCAGCTCCCCTGTACTCCATTATAGTGATATGACATGTATACAGTATCTATATCCCAGCTCCCCTGTACTCCGTTATAGTGATATGACATGTATACAGTAATGTATATCCCCTGCACTCCATTATAGTGATATGCCATGTATACAGTAATCATTTCTGTATACATGTCATCACTATAATGGAGAACAGGGGAGCTGGGATATACATTACTGTATACATGTCATATCACTATAATGGAGTACAGGGGAGCTGGGATATACATTACTGTATACATGTCATATCACTATAATGGAGTACAGGGGAGCTGGGACATACATTACTGTATACATGTCATATCACTATAATGGAGTACAGGGGAGCTGGGATATACATTACTAAGTAATGTATATCCCAGCTCCCCAGTACTCCATTATAGTGATAGGACATGTTGTATACAGTACTTAATGTCCCCCCCTGAGTCCCCCGCGGCGGTGGAGAGGGTGTCCCCTCTCAGCGGAGGAGAGCAGACCTCTCCTGCACTTGTCCCCTCGGCAGCGGTGCCGCAGGAGCCGGAAACAGGAAGTTGTAAACCGCAACTCGGCTTCACAATGAGCCTGGGAGCGCTAAGGTGCAGTCGCTCCATGCTTCATCTGTGCTCACCGCTTGCTCACCACAGAGGAATTTCTCCTTGCATTTGGCGAGCGTGTGAAGGGCTTTTTCAAGCCCTGCTAGCTCAATATGATTTACTGGGCATCCTTATTAAATTTAACAGGAATAACAATAGAAAGAGGACTGTATATATTACACATTATGGCTTGCTAATTAAAAAGAGTGGATTACCTTTGCACATCTGCTGGGGTTTGAGGACATAGCCACAATTGCCATTCACCTTGAATTTTGCACGATTTAATTCCATCATTCGTCCTTCTGTTTGGTAATTGAGTGCAACTGAAGGCATAGAAGGAGGGCTAAGGTATACGTAAAGTACAGTGCACAACCACACAACTATAACAGTGAAGCAGTGATGTAGCAGACATTACTGCATTAACAAAAGATTTATTTCCACCAGTTCAGGAGAGCAATGCCATTATATAAATTTAGCAAGTAAATTGACAATTCTGTACCTGGGACATATCCTTAGGGTGCAGCAGAATTTAATTTTTTCACGAGATTATATAAAGTACTTTTCACCACGGGACAACCAATTTTTAGCACATAGTCAAACTACACTTCTTTCTGCAATTTAGTTAACAGTTAAGTTCACCTTTGGGAGAATGTTACATGTTGCACCCCTATTTAGAGCGTAACATGTAGCATGCTCCTATTCACATGGCTCCTGCTGCCAGAAGCCCATCCCTGTGAACCCCCTGGCACCTGCTGTCAGATTTGAAATTGGCTCTGCCTGCACAGCCTCATCATTTATCCACAGAGATTTGTGAATGAGAAAACAACCAGTCCCATCTTCCAAGGCTTGTAGTTCCTAATGAACAGTGAGGGCGCTGTTGACCACCCTCATCATTCATTCACAAGCCCTGAAGCTTTCAGACTGGCAGCCAGTAAAAAGGTACAGGCAGAAAGCTGTGGGGCTTGTCTGCAGGAGCCAGACGTTGCACCCATGATCCACAGGTGTAATGCTCTGCAGGTTCCACATTTTATTCCTGTAGAAATATGTGCATTTATTATTTTTGTCACAAAGGTGAACTTTCATGCGGTTTAAATCTTCTAGCTTACACATATCATAGTACACACCTAACTGGATTCCAGCATTCCAATATGGCACTGGGTTAAAGTTACTGGAGTCTATCCTGTATGCAGATGGATATATTCTGGTAAGTTGCTTCTGATTGTACACCATAAATTGCTCCGACCTCTGCTGAACCACTTGATGTGCTCTGGTCTCACTAAAAGATAAAACATTTCCTGTGGAACCTGAAATAAACCAGAATGAAAGTCAGAAAAGAACATAACATTTTAGTCACCTCTTTTGGGACAGGTTTAATCAGACAGTGATGAACACATCCATGGGAACACACTTTGGTAATTCACAAAGCTTGTTTTACAGAGCATCAATCCACATGGTTACGAATGGATGCTGTCCTCCAATAAATAGGTTTAATTTGATCCAAAAGCAGGTCTAAATGGTTGGATCAGTATGTTTTGCTTTAATTTTTTTAGATAAATAGGTAAGGTAGATAGGTAGATAGATAGATAGATAGATAGATAGATAGATAGATAGATAGATAGATAGATAGATAGATAGAGAGAGATAGACCCTATGGTAATATTTTCGGTGCTGGGTCCTGGAATGTGGCTCCTCTAAATTTCTAACAATGAAAATAAATGTTACTTTCCAATTGCCAAAAGCAAAACTAATAATAATAGTATTCAAAAATAATGATGTTTGTATATAAAACATGCAATATTCACAGCTGCAAAGCACTAGTCATTAAAAAAAAACTGATACAGTATGAGATAGCACTAAAGTTATTTATACAGACTGGTAAGAAAGCCATGTAAACAGGCAAAACATTTAAACTCTTGACTATGAAATGTGTTTTACAAATGTAAGTGCTTAGAAAACTGTAGCAATGTAAGGAAATCTGGAAATGCAGACAGAATAGCATATGTCTGCCTCATTATACAGCAGAATTATTCTGAAAAATAGTACATTCCTCAAATATAAAGATGTGATATAAAATGCTCTATAGGAAAGTTTCATTACTATGATCAAGTTAATAGCTAACCTACTTGTTAACATATTAAGGATTTCAGCAGTAAGCTATGAGACAAAGAAAATCTGCATAGCTTGTGAACAAATCAACTGTTTTGCAATGCAAAAACACTTCCATGGGATATAAATCTCTTGTTTAGACCGATTCTCTTTGACTTCCAACAGCGCATTACTAAAGGTCTGAGGGTACATATCTGATTGAGGGCCTGTGCCAACAAATTTTGAGTTGAGTAAATGTCAGAGCCTGGAATCGAACCTGGGCCTTCTGTGGTGGGAGATGGTGTTTCTTCTCGCTGAGCCACCTGGAATGCTGGACAGCTCCCTTGACAATTCTTTGGATGATCCTGCCTTTTCCCTGTTTTGTCTTGAACCTTGAACTCCTTGCTCCTCCCATGAACTTCCTATAAAAGCCATGTCTCTGCACTTCCTGGTTGCCAGATTATTGTGCCTTACCAGCCAATATCCCGTTTACTGTTCCTGCTGCCGTCTTCATCTACGTTACCGACCTTTGGCTCGCTACTGACTACGATTCTGCCCCATCCTATCTACTACCATTGGTTGACCATCTCACAAAGATGGCCCATTTTGTTCCAGTGAAGGGGGTGCCCACTGCTGAACAGACTGCAGAACTAATGGTTCGAGAAGTATTTAAACTGCATGGAATCCCTGATGATGTAGGTGTCTGACAGAGGTGTGCAGTTTACTTCGAAATTTTGGAAAAGCTTTTGCTCAGCCTTGGGTGTTACAATCAATCTGTCCTCTGCTTTTCATCCCCAGTCTAATGGTCAGACTGAGAGAACTAATCAAACAATGGAGCAGTATCTTCGATGCTTTGTCACTTATCTTCAGGATGACTGGGTGGACTGTCTTCCCACTGCAGAGTTTGCATACAACAATTCTAAACATAGTTCCACCTCTCAAAGTCCCTTTTACTTAAACAACGGTTATCATCCAGTTTTTATTCCTGATCTCCCTATCACAACTCCAATTCCAACACGTTGGTACACGGTGATCTGTTTCCGGTATGCGGTGACATAGTTCCGGTGTGGGCACCATTTTGGTACACCTAACAAAACCCATGTGGTACACCCATAGCATGAGGTTTAGAAGCTGATTTTCTATGGAGTATATGTGAGTGGGCAATTGGCGTTTTTTATTGTTTGTTCATTAATAAACCTTACTACACTATGGAGGATCTTTCTTTTCTATTAATATGATCCTTTATGGAGAGTGAGCTATATTGCGATACCTGTGCCTGGAGGGGACCTGAGAGGAGTAAATGCCACCATTGATGAGATGTCTTGCAGTTATTTTTCCTGTGACGAGTTATTACCTGTAAGGATCGTGGTGTGATCATAAAAGCGAGCTGGCCCTTGTGGTCACATTGAGGAGGTGAGGGGGCATTTTAGCCATTTGAGGATTTTTTTCACCATTGCTGTGATCACCTATTCACCTCATCACCTGCATGATATTCGTTTAAGGATCACGTCTATATATTTATTTTCATATTGGACTTATTGAGTTGTATTTGTGATATTTTGTCACTTTCATTTATGTGGTTGTTTATAGTGTGGATATGTGTATTTATTTGTCTTTAGCACATATCACTTTATTAGGTTGATTATCCCCCTGGTTGGGGATTCACTTAAGCTTACACTCCATTTTTTTTGTATTTTTTTTATAAAGTCCCTCATTTGGGGATATGGGGGTTTGAAGTAATGTGTATTTGCGTTCACACTTATTAAGGATTTATACAGTAGCATTCCTGTTTTTTTCTCACTTTTCACTTAATTATTTCACTCTTGGATCCTGATTGGATCAGATCACTTTAGTTTTGCTATTAATAATAAAGTGAATATAAACAACATACACATAAATGATTATGTGTTAACTGTTTAGTGCTTCACCATATTATCTTTTCATTTTCTATATACACCTATTAGTTTCAGGTTGGGTGTGAGCAGCTTGAGTTGAGGGATCATCCATTTAAGCGCAGGAGGATTTATTATTATCTCTATTTTGTTGGAAAACTTGCCATCACTCAATGGACATATGAGAGATTCTTTCATACTCAAGTGTTCACACTATTTGAAAAAAAATAAAAACCGGACTAGGCTGTAAAAAAAAAGAAAAAGAATTCTAATGTTTTTATTGACAGCCTTTATCATCACATTAAGGTATATGCATTGCTGGATTATGCCTCACAATTTGGGGTATTTGTGGACAAATGCTTTTAAGCAGTTTAATGCATGCTTCTGGTATGATACAGGAAAATCATAGAAGCATTTGGATTGCTTAACAAGATAAGCTGCATTGTTTGGATTTATGTCAGGCAGACTTGCAATTATGATAAAAGCTCAAATCGCAAACCACAACAGCAATAAAGCTCCTTTTACTTCCACAGAAGCTCTTTAAATCTGAATCAATCTACATAAATGTAACTATAAGATTGAATTTAAAACTGCCAATCTAAGTCTGAATAAACAATAGCAGATCTGAACCCTGGTTCTTAGAAATGGTCAAGTGAAACAGTTAGGGTTAGGAAAGAGCAAAGATTTATGAAATAATATAAACATGACATATAACAATTTAACACCTCAGCCATGTTTATATAATAATAATAATAATAATCAAAACTTTTTTATTGAGTAATAATTAATCTGTCAGTCATCAAACATACATTGTTTGAAATTTAAGTATATTTATGTAGATACTGTTGATGTACACATATGAATTGAATCCAACTCGACAGTGTTGACAAGGAGACTGAGGTGGTTTTCTTCAGCCTTGTGAACTTAATGAACTTTGCAAATAACTCTATTACAAAAGGTCCCAAATCTTACCTAAAGGCTCACAAATACTACAAATATAAACAATGGAATCACCAGGTCAGGAAAACTGCACTGTACTGAAAAAAAGGTGGAGATCAGCTCTAAAAGAGAAGTTCAGGAATTTTAAAAAACAAACTCACCTAGATGAATACAGGATCTGTATCTTTCCCTCGCAGCCTCTAAGATAGAGAACCGAGCGATCAAAGACTGCTGATTGTTCAGTTCTCGACATTCAATGAGAAGTCACCAGCTCTCTGTTCTGCCCCTCCAGTGCTCACTGGAGCGCTGCGCTGTGGAGGGAACAGAAGCGGCTGACTCAGGCTCTCAGCGGTGTGCTGAGAGGCTGAGCCAGTTGCCGGTCCAGGCATCTGAGTGGATCCAAGCATT